TTTTTTACTAAAAGCTAGTCTGTAGTCCCCCTTATATTCGTTTTAAGTTAATTTACTCAATTGGAAAGGTAAAATCAAAGTATTTCAGTAAACACAGTTCGAAACCCCTGAAAATATACAAATTTCAATTTTGTATAGTGTTGTGTAGTCCCCAAGGGGTTTGTGTCCCTTTTTCAAGTTAAACTTTTCATTTTTCAAAAGTTTATTCCAGAATTAGGCTTACCAAAGGTTACATCTTTAATTTTCGAAGAACTACTTTGAAAAAGTAATCTTTTTAAACTGTCGTAACCCCCAGGGGTACTCTGACCTTGTAATTATAGTGCTTTCTTTATATTTAAAAGAATATTAAATAATTGTTTTAAAAAAATGTTTCAAATTTCATAAAATTGTGGGAAATACTTTGTAAATCCTTAGAAAAAATAAAGTTTTCAAACTATTAAATCGCCCAGGGGACTCGAGACCATAGACTTTTGTAATTATAGTGCTTTTTGGCTTTTAAATAATAAAAATTAAACAATTATTTAATACAAATCTTAAATTTTTTGCGATTGTAAGGATTATTTGGCAAATCCTTAGAAAGAAAAAAGTTTTTAAACATTTGAAGACCCCCGGGGGATCTTTAACCTTGTAATTATAGTGCAAAAATGCTTTTTAAAGAAAATTAAATAAATTTTTATACAAATTTTTTACAAATATAAGAATTATTTTGCTAATTCTTAGAAAAAAAAGGAAGTTTTTAAACTTTTGAAGCCCCCAGGGGGACATTGGCCATGTCATAATAGTGTCTTTTTGGCATTAAAATAAAAATTTAATAACTGTTTCAAACAAATTTTAACTTTTTTACGATTGTAAAGATTATTTGGCATATCTTTAGAAATAAGAAAGTTTTCAAACTTTTAAAGACCCCCGGGGGATCTTTAACCTTGTAATTATAGTGCATTTTGGCTTTGTAAAGAAAATTAAATACATTTTTTATACAAATTTGTAAGTTTTTACAAATATAAGGAGTATTTTGAAAATTTTAGGAATAAAAACAAAGTTTTTAAACTCTTAAAGCCCCCAGGGGGTCTTTAGCCTTATAATTAAAGTTTTTTCTGCACTTTTTCTTCTACATTATGTTGGAAATTTTTACTTCTTTTAATTTTTAACAAATTTTTTAACAATTTCCTTTTTTTAAAACTTATAAATTACATTTAAAATAAGCGTTTAATTGAATTCCCCTTTAAGGTATATTACGAGAGAGTATAATACCTCCAAATAAAACTTTGAAAGTATGGATTTTTAGGATGAATTTTGTTATTAGTTTTTAAGGTTTTTATAGAAGTTATTTTATTTAATTATTTTTATTTAAAGTTATGAAAAACGTAGCTTTTTTATTGTAATGCTTTTGAGTTTTGTTTTGGAGTTAAGGATTTTTTTGCATATTTTGTTTTAAATATATAAAATATTTATTTAAATAAACGTGTTGATTCAATTTCAATATTCTTTTTTTTGTTTTGTTTTTTAGCTGCTCTATTTAATATATAAATAAAAATTATATATTATATAATTAAAATGGAATGATTGGCTGCCCCCAATACACAATTGCTTCACGATTTTCTTTTTTTTTTTAATATAGATTTTTTTTGTAACTCACATAGGTATTTTTTATTTTTATTTTTTTAGTTTTTTTAAAAAATAAAAAATAATTTAATTTTTCATCTGTTGGTTATTGAAAATGTTCTGGTTTTTTTAACAACTACTTGAGAAACACAAAGTTAAAACTTAAAAAAAAAGTTTAATACAAAAAATATTATGGTTTTTTATATAAAAAAATGTAATGATTCAAGCATTAAAATACAATTTACCAGTAGATGTTATTATTATTAAAAAAACTACTTTATAAAGTTAACATTTAAATAAAAAAAAATACTCAAAGTAAGAAAAACTAAATAATAGTTTAAAGTTAGTTAAAAAGTGTTAAAAGTCTAGAGTTAAAAGTTTTATAGAAAATACGAATATTTTAAAGTTTTGCTGTTTAATTTTGAAGTTATTGGAAAGTAAATTGTTTAACAATTTCCTTCTTTTATGCCTTGTTTCTAATTTAGTTTATTATCTTTTTTTAAAAAAATAGCTTTTGCTTTTTTTTTTAATTAGAAAATCTCCATAAACAAAATATTAAATATAATATTTAAGAAAAAAATAATAATAATAATTACAAAACAGATTATAACATATTGCACTTAAAAAAAATTAGAACTTTGTTCTAAAACAGTAAAAAAAACAAAAACAACCTTTATATTTTCCTTTTTTCTATAAATGTTTAAAAAAAAAAGTATTTTTTTTCTATATGGCATAATTTTTATAGAAATTTTCAATTATTTTAAAAAGTAAATGCAAGATTTTAATGAAAATCTATTGAGAAAAAACAGCAAAACTTTAAAATTTCCAGAAATATAATAAAAGAATAAAGAGAAAAGTTTTAAAAAAGGAGTTATTCAAATTCGGTAGAAAAGGTCAAAAGACCCCCGGGGGTCTCTAGAGCGATTTTATTACTTTCTGAAATTGCTATAATTTAAACAAATTTCCCTACAAGTGATGAATTTTCTCTGTATACCGTTTAAAAACATAAAACTTTAAGACAACAGTAGCCCCCAGGGGTTCCTCCGCCAATTAAGTATCTCGTTTTCTTTATATTTTTCTCCTCATTATCTAGAATTTTTCTTGTTCTTCTTCATAAACTTGCATCTTTTATGTTGTACCTCATATTTATAAGTGTTTCCATCACTTTAATGTCTTGCAAATTCTCATTATTTTTTACAATTGCAATCTTTTTTTCATAAAAAATATAAAAAATTAGTACAGTACTTCAAAAGCCATAAAGAAAATTTATTTATTTTATAGAAATTTCTAACTGGAGACAACTAATTGGTAAAGCCTTAGAAGTTTGCAGTCTGTTGACCCCCGGGGGCTGTGATTTAATACGTCAAAGACCAATTAAACATATATTTTGTATAAATTTCAAATTTCTTCCGTCATAACTTTATAAAAAGTTTACTTTAGAAGTCCCCCGGGGGTTTTTTGACACAAAGAACTAGAGATTTCTTTATCTATTTTCCTCTATTGTCTTGCAAATTGTCTTATCTTTTGAAATTGAAATATTTTAAACAAATTATCTTAGAATTGAATGGTTTTCGTTCTTTACAGTTTGCAATAACAACAACGTTTTGTAACTGCAGTAGACCCCGGGGGATTTTGGCCTTAAATGAATCTCATGGTATGACTACTGGATCCTTTTTAAACAGCAATCTCTCTTATTTAAGAAAATGTTAAATTTTAATCCTCATATTTGTAAAATGGTCTAGTCTATAGTCTAGTCTTTAGTCCTGTTTATAATCCATTCTATAGTCTAGTTTAAAGTCTAGTTTATGGTCTAGTCTATAGTCTAGTGTATAATCTAGCCTATAGTCTAGTCTATAGTCTAGTCTATAGTCTAGTCTATAGTCTAGTCTATAGTCTAGTCTATAGTCTAATCTATAGTCTAGTCTATAGTCTAGTCTATAGTCTAGTCTATAGTCTAGTCTATAGTCTAGTCTAGTCTATAGTCTAGTCTATAGTCTAGTCTATAGTCTATAGTCTAGTCTATAGTCTAGTCTATAGTCTAGTCTATAGTCTAGTCTATAGTCTACAGTCTAGTCTATAGTCTATAATCTAGTCTATAGTCTAGTCTATAGTCTAGTCTATAATCTAGTCTTTAGTCTAGTCTATAGTCTAGTCTATAATCTGGTTCATACTATAGTCTAGTCTGTAGTCTAGTCTATAGTATAGTCTATAGTCTAGTCTATAGTGTAGTCTATAGCCTAGTCTATAGTATATTCTATAGACTAGTTTTTAATCTAGTATATAGTGTAGTCTATAGTCTAGTCTATAGTATATTCTATAATCTAGTTTTTAATCTAGTATATAGTCTAGTCTATAGTCTATAATTTAGTCTAAAGCCTAGTCTATAGTCCAATATTTAAATCTACAAAATAATAAATAACTCCTTTTTTAACCAACAGAAGAAACAGAAATCTACATAGTTTTTACAAAACAAGAGAAAGAAAAAAGTAAAAGATAAAGAGAAAATAAACAAGTTTCTAAAGAAAAAAAAAAACTAATAAAATTAATATTATGTATAAAAAAAAAACTAAAAATAAACTACTAATCACTAACCTATTTTGTTGTTGTTGTTTAATTATTACAAAAAATATTTATAAACAAAACTTAATAAACTTAAAACAAAAAACTGAGGAGGGATAAAAAGTGGCAGAGCAAAACTAAAATTTCCAAAGCAAATTAACAGGAGTTTATAATTTTCATAAAGAAAATCTTATACAAAATCTAAAACTTTCTTTTATCTGGAGGGATGGATGTTCTTTCTACTAAAAACTAAAGGAATCAAAAAAACTGTATTACAAACTCCCTTTTTTGTAAGAAAACCTAAGCTAAAGCCTAATCAAAAAAGTAATAAATCAAAATATATATTTGTTAAACATAACTTTGTTTTAATTCTCCATTATTTTCTTTCTTTTTTTCTCTTTTTTGTTTGTGTAATATATATTTTTGTTATATATTTTCTTACATTAAAAAAAAACAATATTTGCATTATTTCAGAAATTTTAAAAAACTATCTTCAATAACTATTGTGTATGTATGTATATAATGCTTGTAATCATTAATTAAAAAAAAAAATATTGTAAAAATTATTTAGAAAAAATTACTGATAAATAAAGTAAAGAAATAATAATGTTTTATGGTCAAACAGAAAACTAAATAATAAATGTGAAATTGAGTGAAATTTTTTTTAAGTTTTTCTTCTCGTTTTTCTTTCTTTTGTAGTTATAGGGTAAATAGTAGTAGTAGTAATAGGTAGTTATTAAGATAGGGAAGGTTGGTTTTAGTTTGATAATAATCATAATATTTATAAAAAAAATGAATTATAAAACAAAATTATATATAATAAATAAACGCGTCCTAACCTGCTTCACTGTCACTTGAATCGCTAGAACTACTATCGCTTGAACTGGACGAGGATGAATCGCTAGAACTAGAACTAGATGATGGGCGATTTGCGGGTTGAACAGCTTCAACTTTATTCGATGATTCGTCTGAAATGAAAGAGAAGAAGAGGGAAACAATAATTAGATTATGTTGATAAAACAAATATGTTTTAATAGATGACTATACTCCATAGTCTGGACTATAGTCTAGTCTATAGTCTGGACTATAGTCTAGTCTATAGTCTGGACTATAGTCTAGTCTATATAGTCTGGCCTATAGTCTAGTCTATATAGTCTGGCCTATAGTCTAGTCTATAGTCTGGTCTATAGTCTAGTCTATAATCCGGACTATAGTCTAGTCTATAGACTGGACTATAGTCTGGACTATAGTCTAGTCTATAGTCTGGACTGTAGTCTAGTCTATAGTCTAGTCTATAGTCTGGACTATAGTCTAGTCTATGGTCTGGACTATAGTCTAGTCTATAGTCTGGACTATAGTCTAGTCTATAGTCTGGACTATAGTCTAGTCTATAGTCTGGACTATAGTCTAGTCTATAGTCTGGACTATAGTCTAGTATATAGCCTGGATTATAGTGTAGTCTATAGTCTGGATTGTGTAGTCTATAGTCTGGATTATAGTGTATTCTATAGTCTGGATTGTGTAGTCTATAGTCTGGATTATAGTGTAGTCTATAGTCTGGACTATAGTCTAGTCTATAGTCTGGATTATAGTGTAGTCTATAGTCTGGACTATAGTCTAGTCTATAGTCTGGACTATAGTCTAGTCTAGTCTATAGTCTGGGCTATAGTCTAGTCTATAGTCTGGACTATAGTTAAGTCTATAGTCTGGACTATAGTCAAGTCTATAGTCTGGACTATAGTCAAGTCTATAGTCTGGACTATAGACTAGTCTATAGTCTGGACTATAGTCAAGTCTATAGTCTGATCTATAGTCTAGTATATAGTCTGGACTATAGCCTAGTCTATAGTCTGATCTATAGTCTAGTATATAGTCTGGACTATAGTGTAGTATATAGTGTGGATTATAATGTAGTCTATAGTCTGGACTATAGTCTAGTCTATAGTCTGGACTTACACTAGTCTATAGCCTGGACTATAGTCTAGTCTATAGTCTGGACTATAGTCTAGTCTATAGTCTGGACTATAGTCTAGTATATAGTCTGGACTATAGTCAAGTCTATAGTCTGGACTATAGACTAGTCTATAGTCTGGACTATAGTCAAGTCTATAGTCTGATCTATAGTCTAGTATATAGTCTGGACTATAGCCTAGTCTATAGTCTGATCTATAGTCTAGTATATAGTCTGGACTATAGTGTAGTATATAGTGTGGATTATAATGTAGTCTATAGTCTGGACTATAGTTAAGTCTATAGTCTGGACTATAGTCAAGTCTATAGTCTGGACTATAGTCAAGTCTATAGTCTGGACTATAGACTAGTCTATAGTCTGGACTATAGTCTAGTCTATAATCTGGACTATAGTCTATTCTATAGTCTGGACTATAGCCTAGTCTATAGTCTGATCTATAGTCTAGTATATAGTCTGGACTATAGTGTAGTATATAGTGTGGATTATAATGTAGTCTATAGTCTGGACTATAGTCTAGTCTATAGTCTGGACTTACACTAGTCTATAGCCTGGACTATAGTCTAGTCTATAGTCTGGACTATAGTCTAGTCTATAGTCTGGACTATAGTCTAGTCTATAGTCTGGACTATAGTCTAGTATATAGCCTGGATTATAGTGTAGTCTATAGTCTGGATTGTGTAGTCTATAGTCTGGATTATAGTGTATTCTATAGTCTGGATTGTGTAGTCTATAGTCTGGATTATAGTGTAGTCTATAGTCTGGACTATAGTCTAGTCTATAGTCTGGACTATAGTCTATTCTATAGTCTGGACTATAGCCTAGTCTATAGTCTGATCTATAGTCTAGTATATAGTCTGGACTATAGTGTAGTATATAGTGTGGATTATAATGTAGTCTATATTCTGGACTATAGTCTAGTCTATAGTCTGGACTTACACTAGTCTATAGCCTGGACTTTAGTCTAGTCTATAGTCTGGACTATAGTTTATAGTCTGGGCTATAGTCTAGTCTATAGTCTGGACTATAGTCTAGTCTATAGTCTGGACTATAGTCTAGTCTATATTCTGGACTATAGTCTAGTATAGTCTAGACTATTGTCTATAGTCTGAACTATAGACTAGACAATAGTCTAGACTATAGTATATATAGTCTAAGCTATAGTCTGGACTATTGTCTAGTCTATAGTCTGGACTATACTCTAGTATATAGTCAGGACTCTAGTCTATAGTCTGGACTATAGTCTGGTCTATAGTCTGGACTATTGTCTAGTCTATATTCTGGACTATTATCTAGTCTATAGTCTGGACTATAGTCTATAGTATGAACTATTGTCTATATAGTATATTTTATAGTCTATTCTCTAGTCTACAGTCCAGTCTACAGTCCAGTCTATAGTCTGGTCTATACTCTAGCCTATAGACTAAAAACAAATAAATGATTTTAACTTGATTTCAAACTTACCTTTTTTGGCTGTCTTCTTGCTGGTACCTAATTGGCCTGTAACATCTTGTAAACGTTTCTCTAGCTCCTGTTTCTTTTCGGCCATTTGTTCATCTTTTGATTTACCAGATGGCTTTTTATCTAAATTATAAATAAAAATAAAAAAAATTTCAATATTTACACTTTCAAATAAATTTTAAATTTAAATAGTTTATAAAATGAATTTTAAAATTTTATATATTTTTTTGTGAAAATTAGTTAAGAGAGAAACAATAATATTGTTAATTTATTATAAATAAAATACATAAAACAATTTCCTTTAGAAAATGAAAATAAAGCCAATTGAAAGTAAATTTACATGCTAATTAAAAACCAACACCAAAAAAGAAAGAAAAGATAAATTAAAAAGAAATTTTAGAAAGAAAAATTTTGCTACAATATCATGCCAATAGTTGAAAAAAAGTGAATTTGAAATTTATTTTTATAAAAAAAAAATAATTATTATGTTTTCAATTATGTAAAATATGTAAAGAAACTAATAGTAGATAAAAATAAAAATCAATATATTTATGTGATATTTAGTTCATCCAATTAACACGTTCACTACTTTTTCATAATTGTTTTTTCAACCAGTCGTTTTAAGGAAAATTAAAAAAAAAAGTCTAAAAAATATATGCAGCAGTAGAGTTTACTTCTTTTTGGTTGGACGAAAAAAACTTAATAAGGAAGTATTAAACAGTTGTTAATATATTGTTGTCTACTTGGGTTGCAAAGGAAAAGGGGAAAGATTTTCTAGTAAAACCAGTAAAATTACTTAAAATTGTAAAAATTTGGTCCTTTGAAGCTTACGATTTAATTTAGGTCCTTCGAACCAGCATAATTAATGTAAAACTCAGTTTAAACCATTAGAAAACGAGGAATTTTGTTTCTTCTTGATAGTTTGTGATAAATATGATCTACAGAGAGCAATTTAAAAGTAAAGATGATAAATTCAAATCATATAGTCCTGTCTATAGTCTAGTCTATAGTCTAGTCTATAGTCTAGTCTATAGTCTAGTCTATAGTCTAGTCTATAGTCTAGTCTATAGTCTAGTCTATAGTCTAGTCTATAGTCTAGTCTATAGTCTAGTCTATAGTCTAGTCTATAGTCTAGTCTATAGTCTAGTCTATAGTCTAGTCTATAGTCTAGTCTATAGTCTAGTCTATAGTCTAGTAGTCTAGTCTATAGTCTAGTCTATAGTCTAGTCGATAGTCTAGTCTATAGTCTAGTCTATAGTCTAGTCTATAGTCTAGTCTATAGTCTAGTCTATAGTCTAGTCTATAGTCTAGTCTATAGTCTAGTCTATAGTCTAGTCTATAGTCTAGTCTATAGTCTAGTCTATAGTTAGTCTAGTCTATAGTCTAGTCTATAGTCTAGTCTATAGTCTAGTCTATAGTCTAGTCTATAGTCTAGTCTATAGTCTAGTCTATAGTCTAGTCTATAGTCTAGTCTATAGTATTCTATAGTCTAGTATAGTCTAGTCTAAGTCTAGTCTATAAGTCTAGTCTATAGTCTAGTCTATAGTCTAGTCTAGTAGTCTTAGTCTATAGTCTAGTCTATAGTCTAGTCTATAGTCTAGTCTATAGTCTAGTCTATAGTCTAGTCTATAGTCTAGTCTATAGTCTATAGTCTAGTCTATAGTCTAGTCTACAGTCTAATCTATAGTCTAGTCTATAGTCTAGTCTATAGTCTAGTCTATAGTCTAGTCTATAGTCTAGTCTATAGTCTAGTCTATAGTCTAGTCTATAGTCTAGTCTATAGTCTAGTCTATAGTCTAGTCTATAGTCTAGTCTATAGTCTAGTCTAGTCTATAGTCTAGTCTATAGTCTAGTCTATAGTCTAGTCTATAGTCTAGTCTATAGTCTAGTCTATAGTCTAGTCTATAGTCTAGTCTATAGTCTAGTCTATAGTCTAGTCTATAGTCTAGTCTATAGTCTAGTCTATAGTCTAGTCTATAGTCTAGTCTATAGTCTAGTCTATAGTCTAGTCTATAGTCTAGTCTATAGTCTAGTCTATAGTCTAGTCTATAGTCTAGTCTATAGTATAGTCTATAGTCTAGTCTATAGTCTAGTCTATAGTCTAGTCTATAGTCTAGTCTATAGTCTAGTCTATAGTCTAGTCTATAGTCTAGTCTATAGTCTAGTCTATAGTCTAGTCTATAGTCTAGTCTATAGTCTAGTATATAGTCTAGTATATAGTCTAGTCTATAGTCAATTCAATTGTCTAGTTTATAGTCCGAAGCCGAAAGACTTTAGCCTTTTAATAAAGGTCCAAAGAAATTTCATTCAAAAGGATTTTAAATTAAGAAAGGCTTTCTTCGTGTTATCAAAAATTTTTTAATGAATGTCTAGGAATTCCCGGAGATTTGTAGGTTGTTCCAAAGTTTTTCAATTGGAACTTTTAATATGAGGTCCGTAGTCCCTAGAGGGTCGAACCAAGTCCAATAATGATTAATAGCGAATATAACGCATGACAAAAACTTTGCTTTATTAAAATCTTTACGTAGTTTTTCAAATTAAACTTTTAACTATGGGGCTAAAGTCCCCCAGGGGTCCAACAAACTTTCAATAATGTAAAATAAGAACTCTAAGGAATGACAAAGACATTGGTAATAGGATAAAGACTTTATTTTATTATAAATCTTTTAAAGTAAGACTTTATATACGATTAAGGGGCTGCAGACCCCCCTGGGGTTCAACAAAATCCAATAAGTTTTAATAGATAATTTAGTATATAACAAAGACTTCGTTTTCTTAAAAATCATTAGAAAATACCTTAATATTACAATTCAAAAACTTTATCTTTGGATAAGAATTGTACAACAGCCCCCAGGGGGACCATGCAAGAAGTTTATAAACTGAATTTTTAAAGAGAAACTCCCTTAAACAACCTACATTTAGCCTGTTTACGACATTTGTTCTGGATACCTCGTACTTTAAGCAAAAGCGTATTTCATATTTGTAAAAATAATAAAAAATTTGGTAAAAAGTTTTAAACATTTAGGACAAACTTTTTAGGACAAATTTTCTAAAATATGTTAAACATTTACAAATTTTTAAAGAGTTATTAAAACTAAAGCAATGTGTAAATTTTTAAACTACAAATAGATTTAATTTTAAAGAGATTTAACCCTTTTTGTATTGGTCAACAAGCCAGACAACAATAAATAACAACTGTTTGTAGAAAAAAATTGGCTTTTGTTCAGTTTATTATAAAATGCTTTATTTCAATTTATAAAACATGTTTAAAATTAAAAAAAAACACACAAAACAAAAAAATTAACATTTAAATTATTAACAAAAAAACATGAAGTGTGAAAAAATGATTTGTTCGTTAAATGAAACGAACAAAAACAAAACTATATAAACATGTAACAAATGAGTGATGATGGGATGTAAGTAAATAAAGTGAGAGTAAAATGTATGTGTGTTTTAATGAAAATGTGCATCTTAATATGTACATGATAAATAAATGTAAAACAATGATGGTTAAAACTGTAAAATGACAAAATGTAGAAAAACAAAACACAATTCGTAACAGAAAAAATTATTAAAAAAAAAATCAAAACAAAAAGCTGCACTTTGTAACAAAAGGGGGAGGGAAGGCCAGCCAGGCGAACAAATTGTTTGTTTAATTATTTTTAGTGTTTTTTGTTAAACTGTTTAATTACTATTCAAAAAAAAGAGCAGTAGAAACAACAAGTTGTTATTGTTGTTTGGACAAAAAAAAACAAACAAATCAACCTCTTAGAAGTTGCTGTTGTTGTTTACGAAGTTGTAGTTGTTGTTGTTCTTGTTCATGTATTGCTTGAGTAGTGCGTGTCATTGGGATAAACTTACAGTAAGGCTTACGGGTTTTTTTGCGTAGACAAGAGGCCACATAGCTTTCAAGTTCACGCAATGTTGAGGGTTTCAATGTTTCGAAATCAATTTCAATTTCATCTGGATTAGAGTCGCGCAGCGATGGTTCTCGATTTTGTATAATGTGTACAACGCGTCCTAATTTATCACCTGTTGAGGGGCGAGGGAAGGAAAGAGAATTTATAATTTAAATCTTTGTTTAGGCAGAAATGAAATTAAATATAGATCGGATTAAAGTGTGATCCATAGATCAGTATATAGAAAAGACTAAAGTCTGATCTATATATCAGTCTATGGAACAGACTAGTCTGATCTATAGATAAGTCTGTAGAACAACTAAAGTCTGATCTATAGATCAGTCTATAGAACAACTAAAGTCTGATCTATAGATCAGTCTATAGAACAGACCAAAGTCTGATCTATAGATCAGTCTATAGAACAACTAAAGTCTGATCTATAGATCAGTCTATAGAACAACTAAAGTCTGATCTTTAGATCAGTCTATAGAACACACTAAAGTCTGACTATAGATCAGTCTCTAAAACAGATCTATAGATCAGTCTATAGAACAGACCAGTCTGATCTATAGATCATTCTATAGAACAGACTAAAGTTTGATCTATAGATCAGTCTATAGAACAGACTAAAGTTTGATCTATAGAACAGACTTAAACCTGATCTATATATGAGTCTATGAGCAGATTTAAACCTTATCTATAGATCAGCCTATAGAATAGACTAAAGTCAGATTTATAGATCAGTCTTTAGAACAGACTAAACTCTGCTCCGTAGATCAGTTTATATAACTGATAAAAGCATAGATCTAAACATAATTTTAACATAAACTTACCCGGCAGTTTATTTATATCCAAAGACAATTGTCTCTTTTCATCGTATGACATGGGTTTGGCCGTATCTTCCTCCTCCGAATCGAAGACCATGGCCTGGCTGGTGGGTTTCTTTTTGTTGGCACCTCTGGCACCAGCTCCCGAACCAGCACCACCACCTCCAGCAGCTGATGCACTGCCTTTGGTACGTTTTGTGGCCGCTGTCGTTGCTGTTGGCCCCACACCGCTAGCATTCGCTGCTTTTGGTCCCCGTTGACCCTTACTCTTAGCACCTTTGCCACCAGCGGCCGCTGTAGCCGGACCCGCTGTTAAACCACCCGGTCCCATGGTAGCACCCTTACCACCCGTACTTATCTGGCCCATCGATATAGCCGAGGCAATCTCATGCCCGTGCATAGTGTTAGCAACACCTGTGGCGACGCCGGCGCCGCCAGGTACCAATGAACCAACTGCTGCCGCCGGCACTATGCCACCGGCTCCCAATGCTCCACCACTGGCAGCAGCCTTTTTCTTTTCCTTCATTTTCTTCTTGGCCTTCTTCTTATTCGAGGCTTCTTCCATTAGTTTGCGCATTTCCTCTTGCAAATCGAGCAATTTCGTCTCCAGCATCTTCAGTTTCGCATTGCGCTCTTCATCCGAATTCGATTCGTTTTCACTGTCCGATGACTCGTCCGAGGAGGAATCGGAACCGTCATGCTTACCATAGCCGTGATGGGCTGCCGCCGCAGCCACCGCTGCTGCATGGGCATTCGCCACCGGTTCATCGGGTATATTAGCGTAACGCATTTCGAAGACATCCTGTAGTTTGCGGCCCATAGCAACGACATCATGATCTGGCGGGTTGTATTTATAGCAGTTGGTGAATATTAATCGCACATCGGCGGCAAACTCGGGTGCACTCTTATACTCGCGATTGTCCATTTTCCGTTTGACGGTACCCAAATCCATGGGCTTTTTAATGATGTCGTGGTAGTCATGCAAACCCAATAGTTCGGCATCGACAGGCTTGTAGAAGGGCCAAGCATAGCCTGAATGTTTTTTGGAAAAGAGTTCTTTAAGGATTTCATTGCAGGATTTCAAGGCATCTGATAGTTTTTCCTTGGATTTGGCGGAGCCCGGTACACCGCCGGCACCACCAGCAGCACCAGGCACTCCACCCACACCCATGGGTGACATGGGATAGCCGGTGTCCTGAGAGCAAAACAAAAATAGATATTGAATTAATTTTTTTCTTAAAATTTACAATTTGTTTCAGAAGAATGTGCAGACAAACTACTTTATAATCTAAAACTAAAATATAAAGGAAGTTTTGGGAAATGTTGGGTTTTTTTAAGGCGTTACACAGCGTGTTTTGTGAAAGCATGATGATGTTTATAGTCGAATTGATTTAAAGGCTTAAGTGGTGGAGTAAAGGATTTGCTATGATTTAGTTAAAAAAGTGTGAAAGGAAATAGAGGAATATTGAAATGCTTTGGAGGTTTAGCGAAAGAAATCCTTTTGTTTTTTTATAAAATTTGTAAATTTCAAGATTTTTGGTAGAAAATGTTTGCCAAAAAAAGTTTTTAAACAAAAAGATTTACTTTCACTTGCAGAAAATGTTCTAAATTTACAAAAAATATAGTAAAAATGCAAGATTTATATATTCGGCAATGCCGACTTTTATAACCCTTCACCAGAGAATATTTTATTAAAAATAATAAAATTTAAATATTTAGATCCGTTTAATCAATAGGCTAAAGACTGATTTATAGAGTCTGATCTATAGATCGGTCTTTAGAACAGACCTAATACTGATCTATAGATCGGTCTTTAGAACAGACCTAAGACTGATCTATAGATCAGTCTATTGAATTGACTTATGTCTGATCTATAGATCAGTCTTTAAAGCAGACTTAAGTCTGATCTATAGATCTGGTCTGAAGGTCATTGTATAGAGATCAGTCTATAAAAGTTTGCTATTAAACAGATCAGGTGAAGAGTATAAAAAAATATATATGCAAAAAAATAAGTAATTTTTCTTCCTCGCATACAATACACACACATCATGCCCCAACACGTTGGCCTACCTTTTTGCCTACCTGTCGATTGGACTCACGCCTCGTTGCGATTTTCGCACTCTTTGAGTCGATTTGTGCATACGGTGATTCAAATGCATTTGCAGTTGGTGTCGTAGTGTCAGCCTTTCTTTTCACACCCTTTTTCATTTTAGCCGGTTGCTGAGGAGGTATAACGGCGTCCACTCCGGCCGCTGTACTATTCACATGATACGCAGGTACGGTAGCCGCAGCAGTTGCCAAAGCAGCAGGATTGGCACCACCACCACCCGCAGCTGTAACACCGCCATCGAGCAGCGTTGAATTGACTCCGGCTGCGCCTGCGCCAACACCAGCTGCTGCACCTGCAGCAGAGCCCACTAAAGACACATGAGTAGCCACACCGCCCGGTGGTAGTATACTGGCTCCAGGTAGTAAGGTACTGGGAGCTCCGGTTGCTAGAGCCGTTGTTGTGGTATTCGTACTGCCGGGTACAGTTTGTGGTGCCACGGTGGCGATCGGTGGTATGCCGGGTGTGGAGGCGGGTGTACCACCGGAGGACGAGACAGTGCCACCCATGGCGGAGAGGGGTCGTGCAGCACTGGCTGCAACAGCTCCAGCACCACCACGGCCAGAACTGGCAGGCGTGGTGGGTGCAGTTAATAGTGATGCATTGGCCGAGGCAGGTGGTTTGGGACCCGAACGCGGTTTCTTTTTACCACCACCCTTCGGCGTCACCGGTTCCAATTCGATTTCCTCCTTGGGCATGGCTTCCAGTTTCTGCAAAAACACTTTTTCCAAAGTTTGAGCCATAACCACCACATCCTCGCCGGGCTTATTGTAAACATAACAATTTGAGAACATTATATTCAAATCCTGTATAGCTTCTTTGGCCGTCCAGTAATAATTGTTCTCCAGCCGTTTCTTAACCGTACCCAAATCCATGGGCTGCTTAATGATCTTATGATAGTCGGGCAGGTTGAGTTTTTTGGCATCGACCGGTTGTTGGAATGGCCAAGAAAAGTGATGCTTCCAGACAGCTTTCATAACCGTCTTAATGAGATACTGTAATTGATTTGTATTGCGTCCCGGTCGATCGGGTGGTGGTACAGTTGGTGGCTGAACAATGCCATTAACTGGCTCCACATAGGGTTCATTACGTGGCGGTGGTTCTTGCGACATTTTGCAGTTTGTTTTTTTTTTTAAATTAAACAATCCAGTATTATTGTTGTTGTTGCTGTTTCCTCCCTTACAAACTTAACACTCCTTTAATTTTTTGCTTTTCTTATGGATTTAAGGTTAGTTTTGTACTCATACACAAACACCAACCTTGAGGTATGTTTTAAAATTGTTATTTTTGTAAGTTTATATACAAAATATGTTAATTGTGCTTAATTTTATTTAATTTTTTTACAGCAAGGAGCTGCTGGCTTTAAGTAGGGGAGGATATTAACAATGTTTTGTTTAAGAGTTAAACTGTTCACTACTTTTTTTAATAGTTTGTTTATTTTTTAGTTATTTTTTTTTTTGGAAAATAAGTGGGGAGTTGTAGCAGTTTTGTAAGGCTTTTACAAAATGTCTTTATTGTTTTTTTTTTTTAACTTTGAAAGGAGAATTCTTTTTAAGAAAGAGAAAAAGTTTTTTACATTAAACTTTAAACTCTCGTAAGAGTTTTTTCCGTTTAAGGTTTTTAGCTTTTCTCTTTTCTTTTGGATCACTTCTCCCTTCTTTATAATAACACACTCTCGTGTCGTGCTCTGTCTCTGAGGGGAGAAATATTAGTGTTTTTTATCACTCTCACTATTTAGCATTTAGCAGTTCTTGTTTTTGTAACAAAAAAAAATTAATTATAATAATAATAATTGTTTGCGTTGTAGTTATAAAAGCCAACAACTCTTTATTTGTTGATTGATTGGTTGGTTTTGTGTTAAGTTTCAAATCCTTTTCTGTAGTCTGGAGTTTTGATAGAGTAGTTTATATATAATGCTGTACATATCTGTAGTAGTAAGATGATTTGTGGCCATATACTGCTGCTGTAATTGTTTGACGGTTGCTGTTGTAGGCCGCATTTTATGGCAAAAATAATCTAGAGTTGAAATTTTAAAGAAAACGAAGAGAAAAGTTAAACATTTCATAAAAATTCTTAGTTGCAATCATAGCTAAATCTCTTTAAAATCCTCAGCATCCTTTAGAGTGTGAAAATATCCCTTAAAAGTTTTAATTATTAAACTCACAAGAGAATTGTAAACAAGATTTTAAGGTTATCTCTACAAACTCAAAGTTAACTTTAGAAAAACTTAAGAAATTCACCTCTTAAGATGCCCCGGATTTCTATAAAGAGTACTAAACTATAAGAGAACTTTCCTTGTCTTAATTAAATTAAAAAAAAAATTACTTTTAAATTAACATTTTTATTTCTCAACTTACCAATACATTTACAGCAAATAGTATTTAAAGTCAGCTTAGAATTGTAAACATTTTTGTTGCTGTTGTTGTTATTGTTGTTTTACTTTGTAATTGTAGTATAACAAACAATTAATTGCAAAATATTTAGGCCAAATTTGCTGTTGTTATATATTTGTTTTTTTTTATGTAAAATTACAAATTTATTGGAGATTGTTTTTGTTTAAAGTCTTTTGGGAGTTTCTTTTTTGTTTTTAACTTATATTATTACAATTTTAAATATATATAATTCTGAAGCATTCACTCTGGAGACGTCAATGTTAAAAAAGGTAGTTTTGTAATTGTTGTGGATGTTATACTGTAAAGAGAAAGAAAGAAAAGCGTATAAGTTATAATTATAATTAAATAATAATTTCAATAATAATTGAAAATTGTCTCAATAATCTGATCTATATATCAGTTTATAGAAGAGACTGTTGGCTGATCTGAAGAACAGTTTAAAGAATAAACTAAAGTCTGATATATTGTTCAGTTTATAGACTAAAGTTTGATATACAGATAAGCTAAAGAACATACTAAAATCTGATCTAGAGATACTTCTATAGATATATAGAACAGACTAAAGTCTGATATATAAATCAGTCTATAGAACAGACTAAAGTCTGATCTATAGATCAGTCTATAGAACAGACTAAAATCTGATCTATAGATCAGTCTATAGAACAAACTTAAGTCTATTCTATAGATCAGTCTATAGAAAAGACTAAAGTATATTCTATAGGTCAGACTAAAGTCTATTCTATAGATCAGTCTATGGTCTAATCTCTAGATCAGTCTATAGAACAGACTAAAGACTATTCTATAGATCAGACTATAGAACAGACTAAAGTCTATTGTATGGGTCAGTCTATAGAGCAGATTAAAGTCTATTCTATAAATCAGTCTATAGATATTCTATAGATCAGTCTATAAAACAGACTGAAGTCTATTCTATAGATCAGTCTATAGAACAGACTAAAGTCATTTCTATAGATCAGTATATACAGACTAAAGTATAATCTCTAGATCAGTATATAGGACAGACTAAAGTCTGATGTAGAGATCTGTCTATAGTATAAACTAAAATCTATAGATCAGTATAGAACAAATGGATTAAACGTTATCAAGGTTTTAACGTTGTACAGATTTTCTTTATTTCTTTAAATTATTTAAAATATCGTTTTCTATTCTTTATAGAAACTGTTTTTCCAATATTATATTATTTATAAACATAATTAAAATCGATAATAAAGAGAATTTTAACCCTTTGCCAAAATATTTCAAATATTTCCAATTCTTTTCTTTGACATAATTTTCATCTTCCCACCGATTGCGTTCATTAGTCTTTTCGGTATTTTTTTTTTTTTTTTTATACAAACAACAACAAAATCCAACAAAGAGAAGTAGATAATAACAACAACAATATAATAGCGTAACAATAACACTAAAATTATCAACAAAGTATATCAATATAAACAAAAACAATTACGAGAGTAATGACAAACAAATCCGACTTTGTGATAAGCTACACCGGCGAATCAGAGGGAACTAGTTGCTTGAATGGATTGTTGTTGTTTGTTTACAGATCTATTAAACAAACTACAATTTGGAATAAAATCATAATAAAACAAATTTATTCTGTTTATGTCCGTTAAACTGATTTATCCAAGGAGGCCTAATAACGGGGACAGAATTGTCCATCTCTCATATTTTACTTCAATATGACAGATGGACAAGTGAAGAAACAAACATGTTTCTAAGTAGATAAGTGGGCAAGGAAGCAATATTTATAAATGTTACAAACGACAACTCCAATACATAATCCCGCCCTTTAAAAGATGTAGGGTATAAAAAAAAACTGTAACCAAAGCAGTCATATGATAAACAGTTGTTGTGAGTGAATTGCAAAAATGAAAGAAAAAAAAAACGAAAAATAATTCACACTGTTGAAAAGAAAACAAAATAAAATATTTTAAACAATAAACTTTCTCTTTTTTCAGTCTTTCAATTTTAGCATAAAAAAGGTTGTAATATAATTTAAATTAAAAATAACTTGCAGTTTTTGGAGGAAATTATTAAAAAACAAAAAAATATTACTTTAAAAAATTAAAATTTTAAAAAGAAAACTTTCACAAACTAAAAAAGCAATAATACTTTAAAATATTTTGTAATATTACTAAAAAAACGCAAATTTAAAAGAATACAAATATAAACCGGCTTAAAATTAAACTAATTTAAACATTCATTCTTAATTAACTTTTAATGATTTTGACACTTAAGAACTAATGTCTACTTCATTTTGTAAACATAGAAACATATTTGTCAAAAATGTTTTCTTAGAAAACCCAAAACAATTGAAAAATTTTATTAAGAAATCCATAGGTAGGTATTTTCCAAAATATACATCCTTAAATTTCTGCCAAATAACAAATTACAACAATAAAAACAAAAAAAAATTCTTGAAAACATTTCATTTCAAAAAGCAAAAAAAAAAACACAAACACACATATATTTGTCCTTTTCTAACAACATAAACTTACTATACACACACGACGCAAACAGCGACTGAGACGTAGTTGTCAGACAGCAGCAAGAAGGCAAATATAGTACAGTAGACTATTTGGTTGATAACTCTCGGCAATATTCGGCTTTTATATTATGTTTTCAACAACAATTTGTATTTCTGTGTATATATCAAAGAATGTTGATGTTGACGTCAACGTTCATCTCTGCTAACCACTGCAGAGAGAGCAGTAAAATGAAAAAATAGCAATAATAAAAAGGAAGACAAGAAAAAAGTCAACGTCGACTGCAATAATATTACACACAATATTGTTGTTGTTTTTGCTTTTGATAATAGTACAAAAATCAAGGCAACACTTTAGTAGCAAGCAGCAGCAAACTAAATAACAAAAACATATAAATAAATTTGTGTGTATGTAGAAAATACGAACTCTATTTTATATGGAACCACTTTTTTCTTTTCTCCTTTCTTTCAACTGCCCTTATAAAATGCTGCTTCTTCATTTTTCATTCTTTTTTTTTCTTCTTGCATATTAGCAAATTTTTTCACTTATGCTTTTTAAAGCAATTCCGGCATTTTCCTTTTAAAAATTTATATTTACAAGAAACTACATTTTATAATTAATAATATTTTTATAACAATTTATGTTAAAAGTAATTTTATTTATTATTTTTCTATACAAATTTTATAATTTAACTTCTTACACTACACACACAACGAACGACGGCAAAGCAACGACGACGTACAACGGACGTGTTGTAGTATAAGCAAAAGGAAAATGTGTAAAGTGAAAAAAAAAATTTTTGACATACATATGAGTGAGCATGTCAACCGTCTAGTTGGAAATCAACAAAGTCTATAGGATTATCTCTTTCTTACGTAGGTAAATTTAGCTGTAAAACTCTCTTGAAAATGGCGGTAGAAATATTTTTAGTACTAAAAGGAAAATCGAAAAAATGAGATGAGTATATAGAAAAAACATTGATGAGTTGACAATTGTACTCTTTTATTTTCTGTTAGACGCTTGAAAACTCTATACAGTGTTGTATTTAATGGGTCAGAAAATGTTTTTTTCTTCTTCGACTTGTGCACGCACAGTGTAAACAAGAAGAAAAATGAAAATAAAGAGAATATTTTGTTTACGTTTTTTTTTTTCATTCGTTGTTTGTTGTTTATGTTGTTTTTCTTTTTTTAGATAAATAAAAAAACTATTTAAGAACTTTGGTTTATTTGGGATATAATATTTAAACCGATATAATTAAGTGATAACACAGAGATTAATGCTGTTTATAATATACAAATACCTATAATAGAAAAGAAAAAAAAAACACTTGTTGAAAATATTCAATATTATTGTGAAAATATTCAGAATTTTTGTGAATACTTAATATTTTTAAATATTTAGCAGTTTTCATAAAAAATACTTAACGGTTGCTTAATAAGCCAAATTATTCCTAAATATGTTCAAATGTTTTCATTAATTATCAATGAAAATTAGAAAAATGCTTTAAAAAGCTTGATCTCTGATAAAAGTGAACATCTGTATAACTATTAAACAAATTCCCCCCAAAACACAACTTTAATATTCTTTAACAGTACAAAAATTTTATTCATCTAGCTGGGGTTGGGAATATAGAGGAATTCCGTAAAATATTAGTAAATAATTTTTGAAACCCTATTTAACCTAAAGCAGTAAAATATGATTGTTCGGAAATTGTTTCTATAGAAGGGATATTATTGCAACATCTTAGTCATAAGATTTTTTTTTTTTTTTTTTATTCTTGGGAAGTGTTCCTTCTATGTGCAATGAAGGCCTGAACCTTCATTACAAAATTCTCTAATACAATTTCTGTAGATATAAGTTTACTTTTCTCCAAATTTGACTGAATTCCTAGACATAAAATGATTTTCGTAAGTTGTGTTTATATAGATTTGTAGACTACAAACTGACCTTACAATACCTATTAACTTACTAATTCAAAATGTAGTAAGACTAAGACTGATTTAATAGTCCAGACTAGACCAAGATATTTATGTAGATCAGGCTTTGGAGTTATATTTGAGAAAATTTACGTATATTACAGATTTTAGACTAATATATAGCGTCCATCTATAGCCAAGATTTTTAGACTGATCTATAGTCCAGAATTTGGACCGATCTATTATCCTGACTGTAAACCACCTATTATCCTGGCTTTAGACTGACCAGTATGTATACTGATCTATAGTCCAAACTTTAGAATGATCTATAGTCGAAACTTTAGAATGATCTATAGTCCCAACTTTAGATTGATCTATAGTCCAGACGTTAGACTAATCTATAGTCCAAACATTAGTTCAGACAGTCCAAACTTTAAACTGATTTATAGAACAGACTTTAAACTAGTCTATAATCGAAACTATAGAATGATTTATAGACTGATATATATAATCTATAGTCCAAACTGTAGTCTAATCTATAGCCTAGACTTTATACTGACCTATAGTCCAGACTTAAGACTAATCTATAGTAGACTTTAATCTAAAAGCCTACAATTTATAATGATGTATAGTGCAGACTTTAGACTGATATATAGTCCAGACTTTAGTCTAATCTATAGCTCAGACTATACTGATCTATAATCCAGACTTTAGACCAGAATGCAGACTGATATACAGTGCAGACTTTAGATTGATCTATGGTCCAAACTTTAGACTAATCTATAAACTGATCTATAGACATGGCTATAGACTGATATATAATATATTTAAACTGATCTATAGTCAAGACTTTAGTCTAATCTATAGTCCAACCTTTAGTTTGATCTATATAGGTACATCAGATTTTAAAATTATATTTTGTCTAGACTATAAACTGATTTACAGTCCACATAATAAATTGGTTATGACTATAAACTGATCTACCGTCCAAACTATAAACTGATCTATAGTTTTGTCTATAAAACTAGAAATATAGTCCAGACACAGGCGATTTACTGTTGTAATTTGGATTCTTAATAGAAGTATGAGGTTTTCAAAGGTTATTGTATGACAGCTCTAAATATGTATGATTTATGGGAAGTCTTTAGCCAACTCTTATTTTTTATTGAATGAACTACTTTCTCAACCCTGAAGAATTATTAATTTCTAAATGATTAGTCTGAAAATTTTTTTTTGATAGTGTAAGTGCAATTTTAAAAATTTCACTGATTACTTTCAGAGCTGTTTACCCAAGTGGCCCAATAAATGGGAACCATGTAGTGCATTACAACTTAATGGTTTGTTAACTAGTAGTCTTTTAAAACCTTAGCAGATCCTGGAGAAAAAATTGGAAATTAGTTTGCCGGCACTTAACCTCCATGAGTATTTGCCGACTTAGCAGCAGCATACAAATGCATTAACAGAACCATCAATTCTATCAAATTTTCTGACATTTAGTCGTTCTTACTATATTCTATCTGATCTTTCCGCTATATTTGATATGTTAACCTTACTTTAAAATGTAAATTTTGCTCACAACAAAAAGAATAATTGAAACTGTCGCAAAAAGTTACTAACGATTTTATAACCCTTAACAAAAACAAAAAAAAGATTTTAAAAAAAGTAGTTTTATATTATCGTAAAAGATTTATTGAAAAGAAACAATTTTTTTAAGTAAAGAAGTAAATTTCTCATTACATACAGCACTTAAATACTATTTTTTGCAACTGTTAAAGAAAAAAGACAATAAAGAAACCCGTAATGTTTTGACATGTAAATATTTATAAAAAAAAAATGAGTAATTAAAATAAATGTTTTTATAATTTCAAAGCAAAATAAATGATTAATATAAAATAATATTTTAAATTAAATATTAAATTTAAATATTTTAATTAAAATGTCAATAATTACCATTAAAAATGTATATAGTGGTTGTTGTTTTTTTTTTTTTTTGTTGTATTATCCAAAATGTCTGTGTTTTCTATGTTGTTTGTTACAGATGTTTGGGTTTAGTTTAATCCTTTAGAGGATGAGTAGTAGGCTTTTCTTCTCTATATTTTTGTTGTTTATATTATAGGATAAGATTAATACTTTATATTTTCATTGAGATGATGAGATGTTACTTCTAATATTATATTTTCTTATATTTTATGATGTCAAAAGCAAGCAGCAGGCATGCCTTGTATTTTTTTTTTTTTTCTGTATTTACAATAATAACAAAATGCTTTTTATTTTATTTTTTTTTTTTTTTTATTATTATATTTTATGGAATTTTTCACAAAATTTCACACGCACAAGCTTATTTCTTGGTTTAACTATGACTAAAACTCTAAAATAATTAAAAAAAAAACAATATTTTAATTAATTTTTTTTAAATACATATATAGTTAATTTTATGCTATTAAGACTGCCGGGCAACAACTAAAAACACTAACAAACACAAGTAAACCCTATTGTCTTCCTCTTTTTCTTCTATAGAAAAAAAAAATGACAATTTTACCAACGTTCAAACATACGTACTCAGCAAATATATATACAGACTTTATTCGTTTATACTCTCACACACATTTTCGTTTACATACATATGTATCCACTAAACAATTCGCATATACACGCGACTACACAACGATGTTGAACAGAGAAATTTTTTCTTTATATCTTTTTCGTTTTTTGTAAATTTATTATTTCCCCCCTTTTTTTATTAGGACTTCTACTTCATTTACTTATTCTGGGAGACACTTTCTATCAAAAAAAAAATTATTTAAAATAAAATGTTGTTGCTACTTTTTTTCCGACCCAACGTTCGTTCACAGTTTTTTACTCCTTTTTTCTTCGCGTAGTTTCTCTGTGCTGTTGCCCAGCGGAGTCTCACTTTTTTCAAACACTTTTTTTAACATTTAATTAATAATTTAGCATTTTATTTCTTCATTATGCACTAAAGCTTACTTTAAAGTATTGATTTTTATAAAATTTTTATTTGTTTAAACAATTTTTACACTATTTTATTAAAAATTTTCTGCACAACGAACGCGCACCCGACCGAAAGAACGCGGGTTTTCATCAAATATACATTTTATTTTTCGAAATTACTCACGAGTAAAATAGGGTATGAAAATCTTTTCACTACACTATCTGTCTCTTTCTAGCTTTCGTACTAAATACATGCGTTTCAAGTGAGATAAAAAAGGTTAGCTATAGTTAAACAAATATGAAAAAAGGGAGCTACAAAGAGTACTACGTGTTTGTACTAAAAAAAAAATAAGTATTAATAATGAAACAAAATGGCTGTCTTTTCTTTTAAGCATTTTGCTCGAGAAAAAAAACATGTTAATTTTTAAAATCCTATAACTTTTTTTCTATATTTTTAATAAATGAAAAAAACATATATTTTACTTAAAATTTTCCTTATTTTTCTTAATTTCTTAAGCTAAAATTTTATTTTTTAAAAAAGAATTTTTTCCTAAAATCAAGGCGTTTTTTTTTCGTTTTTTCATGGGTTTTTCGTTCGGGGCAGAATAACCACCATTTTTATTTGCTTAACAATTTCATCACATTTTAATTTTGTGGCTTCTTACATTTGTTTTTAACGTTATTTAATATTTAACACTCTTTTTGTTTAATATGTTTTAATATTTTCTTTAATAAACGTTTATGTTTTACAAAATAATGCAATTATTTCCATTAACTAAAATGTGAATATAATATTTTTTAACAAAATCTTTGGGTTATCCACCATTTTCGAACTTGTCTAAAAATCTTCAATGAATTTCGAAAAATTGTCATTATAAAGCAAATACGGAGTTGCCACACTTTACAAATCTTGCCTTTTTATATGATTTTTAAAAATAAACAAACATTTTCATTAAACAGTTTACATTAGCTATTTAATAACTAAAAATAAACAAATAAAAGTTATATTTAATACACATTTTGCCTAAAGTATGTATTAAGTACTAAATTTATTTCTGCCAGGTATTGCCAGTTTAAAAACCCAAACAAAAACAGAGTTGCTTTTAAAGTTATAAAATTATGTATACATTATAAACATTATTTAATGTATGGAAATAACAAACATAATATTATATTATTTATAAATATATTTTTATTTGTTGTTTTAAAAGTATAATTTGTAATTTTTTTAAATAACAACTCTGCTTAGTTAAATGAGAGTCTGTACCATTTCGACTTAAAAATGACTAAACCTATCCGCCGAAGGAAATTAAAAAACGCCGTTGCCGTCATTCCACTATCTATATACATATGTATATATAATTCTAACGTTACTGACGTATTTCTCATTGCACAGATATTTCCCATAAACTTTCAGATATGATATCTGACACCATTATATCGATAATTTATTGAAATAACAGATATTTTGAAAAATACTACAAATAGTAAAAAAAATATATATTATACAACGTTAGATAGGTATTTCAAAGCACCATCAATTGAAATATATATTGTTTAGATTGTTTAGTGAATAGTAGAAATATTCCTTATGCTTATATAAGCTGAGAAGGTGCAATTATTGTAATATTATAAGTATGTATTTTAATTTCAGAAATTAAAGAGTTATTTATAGTTTTGATAATCGAATTTAGCCGGCTTACAGTCGATTTTAAGCCGCCGTTAATGTTTGTCGGCGCAGGGTCAGACTCAACTGGTCTACAAAAAAAAGAGTAAACGCAATACATTTTGCAAAAAATTTGAGAAATAGAAAATTTAATTTTAATTTAACTTAAAAAAAAAAACAACTAATTAAAAATGCCACGTGGTAAATATGTAAATCATAAAGGACGTAGCCGCCACTTTACCTCACCCGAAGAATTGCAACAGGAAAGTGAGGAGGAGACCAGCAGCAGTGAAGAGTCATCGGGCGAGGAGGAGGAAAGACCTAGTGGCAGCAGCAATAGAGCACGCGGTGCCAAACCAAAATCTACTGCTGCTCCTGCTGGCAAAATGCCCACCAGCAGTGAGGAATCCGATGAAGATTCCGAAGATGATCGCGGTGCTAATAAAGGTGTTGCCGGCCTAATTGAGATAGAAAATCCCAATCGTGCTGTCAAAAAGGCCACACAAAAAGTCACCAAACTTAGCTTAAACCCTGATGAGCCACCACCCAAGCCCGAATTGTCCCGCAGAGATCGTGAACAAATCGAAAAGCAAAAGGCACGCCAGCGTTATGAGAAATTACATGCTGAAGGCAAAACGGCTCAGGCTAAAGCTGATTTGGCACGTTTGGCTTTAATAAGACAACAACGTGCTGATGCTGCTGCCAAACGGGAGGCAGAATTAAAAAAGAAAGCTGCCGATGACAAGAAAGCCGCAGGAAAAGCATAGTCTGGGGAGCAGAGTAATGCTAATCCTGGCAACTATTTCTTCAATCTTTCATATATAATTTTTTTTAATTACTATTAGTAAACAAATATTTTTTTTTCTATATAATTAAAATAACTAAACAATTGCAATGTTTTTTTATATATAATATATAAAAAATATATACTAAAATATATTTTAAATGCTACTCTGGTTTTTTTGTAAAGTATAAATTGTAACAAGAAAGCTTTATCATTACACTAACTTTGCAGTAAATCTATTATTTTTCTGAAATTGTAAAAGCAGTCCCAGGGAAAACCTTTCACAACAAAGTATTTCTTTATTATTATATACTTAAAATACTAACAATCTAAAAAATGATTACACACCCACGCTCATACTATACCCCATACCTCTTCGAAGGCACTGCATAATTTCGAACAGGCTATGGCTCCAGATAAAGGATAATTGCTTATCGAAAATAAAGCCTCCGTATAGTCACTTTTCAGCACACCATGAGCAAAAGCACCCACAACCAATACAATTGGTTCCTCTTCATCATCCTCGTTGATCTTTTTCGGCACCAAATCTTTAATGTTTGTTATCAATTTACCCGAAAATGACATGGCATACTTTTTACAACCCACCGGCAAATGATCGGTAATAGGATTCTTAATAACTTTCATTAGTTTGGTGGAGGTGTCATTGGCACGTATGGAAAATTTATGCAACAATTGAACCATTAAGCCGGCAAAACGTTTAAAAGTTCTAGGTATTCTGGTCTGCGGATTAATTTCAATTAGGACATTACGTTCGGTACGTATGTAAACTTGTAAAAGACCCGCCCGGTTAAGTGGTGAATCGAACAGCATGAGCAGACACTGATGAGTTATGTCGGGACGGCAGGAACCGGGATCACGATTATTTTTACGCATTATATTGGCATGATCATCACAATTAAGCAATTCAAAGGTGTTGCCTACCTGTAATACAAAAAAAAAATGTAAATTAATTTCCTTTAGATCCATATTATTAATTTGAACTTACTTTAACAGTTTCCAATTGTGCTCCATCCAATACAATAATCAGTCTTTTTTCCATGGCCCTTAAGTGGCTAGTCTTTAAATGTTTTTTAGTTAAATCAAATTCAGGATCATCTTCCTTATGTCCTTCAAATTTGCGTTTTTTATTAATTAATTTGCCTTTACCACCCATTATTTTAAAGAAATTTTAAATTTTTTTTATTTCAAAGAATTGTTTTGTTTTTGTTGCCTTCTACACGTGTGTTCGAAAAAAAGTAAATAGTGCTAGAAGGCAATGATACCAGATGTTTATTCAACAATTTAAGCGTTTTTAGTTTGAAATAATGAAAATATATTTAAAAGAAAACTTAATAACCATAATTACTAAATTAAATTTAATTATTCAATTTAAATACAAAATTGTAATAAATTTATATATATTTTTTGAAATAAAACAAATTTTAGTGATTTAAAAAGAAAATATTGCATTAGTGGCAGCACTAAGAAATTTTGTTACAAATAATGATATTGCCATATAGATTTGATTTTTTCAATGTAAACAATGAAATAACAACTCTGCTTTTAACTAATCATTAATCAACTCTGTTATTAACTAATCAGCAGGCAGCTGTTTCATACAGAATTTGTGCAAAATATTAGCAGTGGGGCAGCTTAATTATAGTATTTTAACGCTGAAATGTCATATTAAATATATAAAAAATATTCAGATGAAAGCTAAGAAGTCATTCTCTATATAAACAAAAATTAAAGTATTCGAACCTCTTATCATCCTGCTGAATACTCTGTGTACTTGCATTTTCCCCCCGTTTTAATAAAATTACTTGTGTTTTCGTTTGTGAAAATAATCCCTATAATATATAAAACGAAATTCTAATATTTTGTCATCATTTAGAATTCATCGCTTGTGTATTAAATAACAAAAAAAAGGGAAAATTACAAACAAAATATTTACAATTTGTTCTCTAAAAACTATTTAATTCATCGTCAATGTTTTTAGTGTAAACAAAAAAATGCGTTTGATTTTATTGTTTTGTGTTTTAGTTTTTTATCTAAATGATGTTGCAGTTTTTGCTAGAAACGCAAAAAATACTAATGAAGTTAAAAATTTTATTGGAAATTTGGATATAGTTCATTATCAACCCGAACAAGTGCATTTGTCATTCGGTGGTAAGTAGTATTAGTAGTAGAATTTGTAATATTTCTTTGTTTTATTTAACTGTAATTTTAGCTATAATTTTATTTATTTTTTATACCCTACACCACTTAAGTTTGTATTATGGGTTTATGCTAATGTTTGTAACATTTATAAACCTATATATGGACTATCCTATTGACTTGTCAAGGGACTAGCCTTTTGACTAGATTATAAACTAAAGTCTATATAAACTAGTCTATTGACTACTACATGACAAGACCGTTGGCTAGTATATTGATTTGTTCAAGGACATATCGCACTGATTTTGGTTGAAATCGTTTTATGCTATCACCAAGACTCCATTCAAACTGGACTGTCCTCTACATATCATATTTGTACTAAGGAAATGGTGTAATATTTATTTACTGTTTTAAAAAACTGTTTCTAATAATAATTCCAGTTGTTTTTATTTTATTATTTTGTTTATTTTAACAATTTTTTGCAAGATCGATAACACTAGTAGTTAGGAAATGGTTGAAAAAAAAACAAATGTTTTTATATGATAACAGTTAATGTACAACAAAGAATGTTGGCACGGACTGCTTATATGAAATTGCAACACCCTCATAACAGATTATCTTAACTATTCCCCAATCCTGTTTTTAACTAAGTTAATACCATAACGATTGCATCGGCCCTAAATGATTTTGTTATTCACCAAGTAATTATCTCTTTTATAGAGAAACTGTTCCAGTTATCGTAAAAGGATCTTAAATATACAACTTAACAATGCCTCTTAATCAGGACAAAGTGTATAATTAAAAAAACACGAATATGTATATTATTTACATATATTTTTAAATCAAACTCAAAATTTCTTATCGCAGAGATGCTGTGTACATACTAACACTTTGTGCTAACTCTGAAATTTATTTAGAATAACTTTTTGATAAGAAAACAATAACAATTAAACGCTTATTAAATTATTGGTCTATTTTTTTATTTGCTAATAAATAAATAAGTATGACGAACTTAATAAATCAAGAACATCTGTATGATTTTTATGAGTATTTTTAATTTGAATTTAAATATTTTAAAATAAAATAAACAAAAATTATTGTTACAGATTGTTGTTTATTTTATATAAAATTTATTGATAACTTGAATTTTGTTTAGAAAAGTTATAAATAACTTAATTATTTTAGAAAAATGTTCAATAACTTGAAAATTTCGTAGATAATTTATCGATAAGTTGATTTTTTTTCTAAAAAACTTAACGACAACTTGAATTTTCTATAGAAAAGTCAACGACAATTTAATTTTTTTTTTAGAAAAGTCAACGATAAGTTTAATTTTTGTTAACAAAAGTTGTCGATAACTTGAACTTTTCTTAAAAAAGTCGACGATAAATTTAATTAAAAAAATTTTAAATTTTTACAGAAAAGTTATCTATCTTGAATTTTTTATAGAAAATTTATCGATAACTTGAATTTTCTATAATAAAATTATCGATGACTTAAATTTTTAATAAGAAAGTTATCGATAACTTAAATTTGTTATAGCTAATTTATCGATAAGTTGAGTTTTCAGTAGAAAATCTATAGATAATCTAATTATTTTAGAATAGTTATCTACAACTTAAATTTTCTATAGAAAAGTTATCGATTAATAAATTTTATATAGAAAATATGTCGATTCTCTACAAAAAATGATCGATAACTTGAATTTTCTATAGAAAATTTTTAACTGGATATTTCTATAGAAAATTTACCGATAACCTATATTTTTTTTAAGAAAATTTATCGATAAATAGAATATTATTTAGTTTTGTCAGTTAGTTAGTTTTTAGATTTCTATAGAAAATCCGATATCATAAACCTTCTACGGCGTTATTGACAAATGTGATTTCCTCTTTAAACAACTTTCGATAACTTTGTTTTTAATTTCTTAGTGTTCTGTGTTTCTGTTCTAAAATTAAACCAAAATTTTTAAATAAACGAAAACAATTATTTATAAATTGCAGAAAAACCTCATGATATTGTTGTTACCTGGTCAACACGCAGTGATACCGGTGAATCACTAGTAGAATATGGGGAATCGAACAATTTCACACTGCAAACAATAGGTACAAGTCAGAAGTTTGTCGACGGTGGGGTTAAAGGCAAGACACAATATATACATAGGGTAATATGAGATTAAACCGAATTACTATTGTTTCTGTAATTAAAATATTTTATTTAATTATCAGGTTAGCTTAACAAATTTAAAACCAGCTACCAAGTACATTTATCATTGTGGTAGTAATTTGGGTTGGTCGGCTAAATTTGAATTTCGTACTGTGCCAGAGGGAGATGAATGGTCTCCAAGTCTAGCTATTTATGGTGATATGGGCAATGAAAATGCCCAATCATTGGCACGTTTACAGAAGGATACCCAACTGGGAATGTATGATGCCATCATACATGTAGGAGATTTTGCTTATGACATGAATACCGATAATGCACGGGTGGGTGATGAATTTATGCGTCAAATAGAAAGTGTAGCGGCTTATTTGCCTTATATGGTAGTACCGGGTAATCATGAGGAGAAATAGTAAGTACTTGTTTGAAGAAATAGAGAACGATTTTAATTGTTTTGCATTGTTTCGCAGTAACTTTTCAAATTATAGAGCCCGTTTTAGCATGCCTGGCGGTACTGAGAATCTTTTTTATAGTTTCAATTTGGGTCCCGTACATTTTATAGGCATTTCAACGGAAATGTATTATTTCCTTAATTATGGCTTAAAGACTCTAGTGTTTCAGTACACTTGGCTAGAAAAGGATTTAATGGAAGCTACAAAACCCGAAAATCGTGCTACACGCCCTTGGATTATTGTCTATGGACATCGTCCTATGTATTGTAGCAATGAAAATGATAATGATTGTACCCACTCGCAAACTTTGACAAGAGTTGGTTGGCCTTTTGTGCATATGTTTGGATTGGAGGAATTATTCTATAGATATGGGGTTGATGTAGAGATATGGGCTCATGAACACTCCTATGAACGTCTATGGCCTATTTACGATTATAAAGTATTAAACGGTTCCTATAAGGAACCCTATCGTAATCCCAAGGCGCCAGTTCATATAGTAACCGGCTCGGCAGGCTGTAAAGAAGGCAGAGAACCTTTTCTTTCTAACATACCCGAATGGAGTGCTTTTCATAGTCAAGTTAGTAGTTTGTCTGAGATAAATTTCTATATATTCTTAATAACATTTCTTTTAATTAAACAGGATTATGGTTATACTCGTCTTAAGGCTTACAATCGCTCCCATTTATATTTCGAACAAGTTTCCGATGATAAAAATGGCGCTATTATTGATTCGTTTTGGATTATAAAGGATCAGCATGGATCTTATAATTAGTTTAGCTTGATACATATCTTTTAAAAGTATTAGTGTGGGCACAAGCTTTAAAAATTCATTCCCCAGTTTTTAATTATATTTAAATTGCATTTAACAGCACCAAAGTAATATACTAAGGCAGCAGCACAAAACACCTTAAACGTTCAAATTTTTAAAACAAAACTTTATTTACTTTATAAATTACATTTTAATTATGTATTTACGACAATTTTAATTTAGGGTAATGCTATTGACACTTATATTTTATTATTTATTTAGCTTTATTTAAAATTATGTATTGGATATTTCACAAATACACTCATAGCCAAATGAACAAATATCAATAAATATAACAAATCCATAACAAAATATATTTAACGTTTAAATTCAATAATTTATAAATCGAATTATGGTAGACTTTTAGGTGGACCTTTAGGTTTTGTAGGAAATAAAAGTGATATCAGATCTTCATCCTTTTAGCAATAGGACCTCTAGTTTCGTCAGAAAATGGATTTTTAGGTTTTCATCTAAAAAATCGAATTTTGGTAGGAAATAAAAGTGATCAAAATCTGTGATCAGTTATAGTCTGTAGTCAAGACTATACTCTAGTCAGTTGCCAAGACTATAATTTAGTCTGTAGTCAAGACTATATAGACTAGTCTATAGTCAAGTCTATATAGTTTAGTACGTAGTCAAGACTATATAGTCTAGTCTGTAGTCAAGTCTGTA